AAAGTAGAAGAGAGAGAGAGAAGGGTAAAAATTTGTTAGTACAAATGAAATCACATGAAAATATAACTTTATTGATGCTAACAACTTTAGGCAGTTTAAAGAACACTAATTTACAGTGAGGCAGAGGACACCATGTATCCCTGTATGGGTGTGTTTGGTTCTCCCCAGGAAACTGTGCTGTAGGTTTTCTGTTGATCTGAGTCCTACAGCATCCACCAGAACAAACTCCTTTCCATAATGTTCCCTTGGGAGAATGATATATATATATATATATATATATATATATCTCCTGTAAGTGTCATAGCCCAAGCACACCTGACTGACTCATAACATGACATTGATTAACAAACTCAAAGAAAACATTAAAATTCTTTGCTCAGTTTTAAACCATTGGGCAAGATAGAGGACCAGACTTTAGGTGACTTGCACATACTGACCTTCTAGGGGCCAAGAAGAGTGTGCTCTTCTGAGGCCATTAGAGGCAATAATTCTGGATGCAGGTCCTTCGGGTCTTTTGTCTCCTAGAAATAAATAGTTTTTAAAAATCAATACAGGGACACAATCTGTTAGTCCACTAGATGATAAAAATGTCAGTTATTCCCATAGGTCTGTGGTACTAAGAGGGCTGGTAGAGACAGCAGCCACCACCCACCACATGGTAATTATAGGATATAAAAGTCATTGTTATTAGATAAATCCGTGAAATGGTGAAGAGCAAGGGCTGAGATCTGGGGAGCAGGGGTTTCCAATCTGGTACCATTTTGTATCCATTGAGTTTCTGACTCTTGGGGAACAGGCTTACAGAGGTGTGTCTCCCACTGGGGCTGGGTATGGATCTCTGCCCGGCTCTTGCTCCTAAGGTGACTCTCTCCTCCACAGTAGGTGACACAGCAGCGACAAGCTGCAGAAGGTTTTCCTCTGTGCTTGGACATTGTGCCTGAGGCTGGAGAGGTACCCACAGCCCTTCCTGAGCTCTGGAGTTCTGGAGGCTCTTTCAAACGACTTCTCCTCCTTTGAACATGGTCCAGACTGATGTCAGACTGAGAAGAGCAGCTCTCATTCCAGCCAGAGCTGGCACTCAGACTTCTCAGGGGAAGAGCCAACCGCAATGCCTTCCAGAATTTAGAGCCAGCGTGTTTGGATTTTTCTCCCTTCCAGCTCACAAAAGACACAGACTCCTTCAGCTGCAGGATGCCTGGGTGTGGATGCTCAAGGGGACGATACTCTACCACAATGAGCTTGGTGGCAATGGAGTTCTGGCACATGACACCCAGTTTAAATTCCAGCATGCTGATGCTCTTTTCTGTCACATAGTCTGGGCTCAGGACAACAATCATCCTTCGGCTCCTCTGAATGAAGTCAAAAACTGCTTCCACTGTATCTACAGGAAAAGGGAAAGATAGGACGATGCCTAGTGAAAACTTATATAAGTTTCAGCTCATCATTGTTTCTCATACAAAGGGAAGGTGATGAGTAAACCTTCAAGGAGGAGAAATTAGCCACCTCTGAAATGAGCAGCTAGTTTCAGCTCAGTTTGTAAATTATTTCCTCGTTTGAAGTATTCTTCCCTATCACTTTTATGTGGTGGTACTAGATCTACATCCTTAAACGTCTGAAATATTTTGCAACCATTGTGATCACATTGTTTTTGCTTCTCACCTGTAGATTAAATAACCTCAAGACTTTTATCTTATTACCCGTATGACATGATATCAAGCCTCTTTCCTGCCTTTATTATATTTTGCTGTATATAATGTGTATATACGTGCTTCGTAAGAGTGGTTTCCTGAACAAGACTGAACACAATGCTTCAGACACACTGTGATCAGCAAAGAGCAATCAGGAATCACTGTCTTCTAAGATTTACACCATTGTATCTGTGGTACTTAAAATTTTTGGATAAGACATCAGACAGTTCATACTATTGACCTTGTTGTCAACCCAAATTCCTTTGTGTGTGTGTGTGTGTGTGTGTGTGTGTGTGTGTGAAGATACAGCTTAACAGTAAATTGAAAGGGCAAACACATTGACAATGGGTAAGAACCAGTCAATTAATTAAGAGTTCTGGCAAAAGATTCAATTCTAATAGTTACTGAGGTGAAATTGGACATATCCCAATGGGGAAGTTCTTGAGGTAAATTCAGTCTTTAGCTCACTGTTAGATTTAAGAGCTTAAACAATGTTATTTTCTGAAGGAAAAGAATTCCAAATATATAGATGACAGCCATTGACAATGCTGACTACAGGTACCTCAGACACATCAGGAGGTTGAGTACCTGTGCTTTTGTGGTCAGAGGTGAAATAATGATCTAGAGACTTTTTACCCTGTGAAGACAAACTGAAAATTTGCAGTGAAATTGATCATTATTAATTTGACAACATAAAGGAGCTATGTTCCTTACCAGATCAGTTCTCCCAATTAGTGAATTTAACATGATTTTGAAGGGAAATTGGAAGAACAATTTTTAAGAAATTTTTACTGGTTTTATCAAGGCAGCAGAGTGTTTTAGGTAATTCTTGTTTCAATCTTAAAAGAGATATCTAAATTTTCACCAATCTTCAAAGCCTGAGTGAATGTTCACCCATGTTTTATAAACTCTTTTGTTCTGCCTACTCCTGCTCAGAATCTCACATAGCTGTCTTTCATAGACCTGAGAATGTGCGAGTAGGAAGCCTACTGCTTCTCCTGTCTCAGGATAGATCAGGTAAACATGGATGGTTCTTCATTACAAGGAACTCGTGCACTCAAATCATGCGTGTATTTCACTTCAAAATAGCCTCTGGGGATAAAAACTGTTGAAAACAAAACAGTATTCCAGATCCTCTAAAAAAAAGCCTGTGGCTTTAAAAAAAATAGTATTGACCCTACATTGGTATTTGAGAGAGGACAATATTAAATAAACAGACATGTATGGTGAAATTCCAAACTTTGAGGAATGGATATAGGGATGCCTCTCAGGTGGGGGCCTTCACAAAGTACTTTGAAAGAAGTTGTATCCTTTATGGAATATTTTAATGTCTTACATATTGTCAAAACTTTATATCTGAGGCTGCAATTTATTATGATTTTAATACTGAAGATTATTTGGAGAGGGAGTTGTAAATTAGATCTTCCTTTTTGGGCTCAAAATAATGATGTGTGGCTATAGAATGTTGAGGCCATTTTCTTGTATTATACTAAATTGGTTTTCAACTCACATTTTCTGGTTTCAAACTCTTCAAGGCAAAATACTCCTGCTTTTAAAATTCATAGCCTCTCTGAAATCCCCCTACAATTAAACTAGGTAAGCAATTTTGTCCTTTGGCTGAGTTATTGGTATATGAAAGAGCAGCAAGACTCTGTCCCTCTGTCTGTCTCTCTTAAAACTTGAAGTGTAGTAAAGAAATAAAGGGTGGACACCTAATTTGGAAGATATATCTGAATTCAAATATTGGTTTCTGCATTTCTCTCTGTTTTTTTTATCTTAATATATTTAAGTCTGAATGTATCCCTCTATAAAATACATATGAGAGAAAATTTGGAAGGTTTTCAAACACATTAGAGATACCTAAACATAAATGTATAGCAAACACAATATTAAAATAAAGTATGGACTAATGTTCACTGAATCTGAATCAATTTTTGATGGCAACTTTAGATAATCACATTAACATATAAATTTATGAGAGTCGTAAGTTTTAAAAATTCTGTCTATTCAGTTTAAAATACATGCAGATACTAACTATTACTGAAACACCTAATCTTCAAGTCTATTGTTAAAAATGCTTCAGAGAAAACAGACAAACTAGTTGTTGAATATGTCTCGTCTGCCATACTGTGACTTTACTGGTGTCAAAGACCTAGAGACATCAGTAAATGACTACAGACAGTATCCTGAGCATTTTAACAAGGTCAGTAATAGCCAGGTAACCAGGATGAGCAAACTACTGATACTGAAACTGTTGTTATTCCAACTAAATAGTCACCACTAGGTTCTAGAAGGTAATTTAATATGTCCAGAGCTGGAAGACACCTCAGACTTATCATGACTTACCCAATGTGAAAAGCCCATGTACGAAATCTTAATAAGATTCATCTAATTTCTGCCTGTACAACACTAGTAGTTGGAGCCAGTAGTCGGAGCCTGTCTTCACTTCAAGGACAGTGAAACACATTACTGGTCAACTCTGCTTCAAAGTTATTTCTTAACTGAGTAGAAATCTGTTTCCATATAAGCCTCCTCCATTGATCCTAAGTATACTTTTTGGAGATGGCCTTGCAAGTAAAAAAATTCAGTAGGAAAATTTTTAGTGATGTAACCAGTTCAGTTATAGAAACTCAATAAATATTCTTAAAATAACTGAATAGAAAAAAGTTATGGAAGAAGCCTTTCCTGTTACTATAAACTATCTATTAAAATGCAAAGAAAGTGAATTTCCAAATATTTATCTTATTTACTTTAAATTTTTGATAGGAATGCATTATTGATTCATTTAGGCAAATTATAATCTGTTAACTAAAAGCAGGTTACTAATTAATTGATCTCATTCCAAAGCAACTGCCCTGGGTTTGCATTAAAGCCTATATAAGGTAAGAGATTTGTGTAAGCTACCCAAGTTCCAGGTTGAACAAAAAGGAACAGACTGTGTCCTTTTTTCAAAAGAATTTCTCTCTGTCCCTTCATCCCCTTGTCTGCCTCTTTCTGTCTCTCTGGCTATCTAGACACACACACACACACACACACACACACACACACATACACCTGGTATACTAGAACAATTCATTTTACTTAAGTCTTTTACTCACTTTATGTGAGTAAAGTTTTATGTCTTTTAATTTATGTAAAGAAAATATTCTTGAGATGAAGTTCCCATTTTTCTCATATTTCTTTCAGAAAGAAAAACTTAACTAGTGTAACATAACATTTCATATGTATCTTTCTTTTTATTCTCATTTCTTGTGTCCAAACATGAAAACAATGACATAAAACACATGCACAAAATAAAATTCAAAGCTGAAAATAAATGGTTTATTTTAAAAATAAATTTACAAATCAAATGGAAAATACAAAAGTTTATGAAGAAAATAAAAAAGATAACCTTAAAATATTAAAAGCTATGGAAAGAAAATGGATGATTAACAGCGGAGTGATGCTTTTGTTCTCCAATACAAAGGGATGATTTTTATTTGAATCCTAGGGAATCATCTGTTACAATACAGAAGAAAATTAGATAAATTTTGTATATACAATAATTGTGTAATTAGATACTCTATATATCATAGTTCTCTGTTAACTTGGTTGAAGAAGGTCTTTATATCACATATCTCAAACATTAAGTTTTTTTTTAACTTTAGAGATTTCTTTTTTAACATGAGAGAGCAATTCCTTTCCATTCTCTAAATTATGGTTTTCCATCTCCCTCAAATACTCTGTATTAGGCATCTTCTAAGACATAAAACAAATAAAATATCTTGAAAATTTTCTCTTAAAATGAGACATATCATGTACACTTGAGATGCTTTAGATTTTAGCATTTGGAAAAGTTCAGTACCAAAGACAAGAATATAAATAGGAAAAAAAGATGTCAAGATGTTTCTAGGGACACCCAACAGTGTTTGGGATAAATATGGAATCCAAAAGTGCAAAAAGAATGGACCCTTGGTGATGGGACTGCCCCCCCCCCAATTTATCTAAAGCTAATGCAAGAATTTGATACACAAAGATTATCTGGAGTCAGGTTTCCTCTGTTCTTGTGAGTGAAGGATAGTTAGGAGGGATGATTGTGGTTTGTTACAAGAAAAAGTATTAATGAGGCTAAAAATATTAGAGCCAAGAATGACTTTTAGATCAGTTTTATAGTCAAGAATTCATGCTTATATTCAATTTAAAATGATCAATGATCCTCTATAAAGAAATTATGTACTATTTACTTTAATACTGCTGAAGGACCTTTAAATGTAAGTGATAGTTTTAGAATTGCTCAACAATATACTACAGGATAAGGGTTTCCTTAAATTATAGGTTATGGTGTTTCATAGGATACTCAGGCTCATTTATAACTCAACAGTCTAAATAGAGATTTCTCCAATACTGGGAGCACTCAGATTCACATAGTTTAGTTTTTAAGTGTATGTGTCCAGAACATAGTAAATGATCAACTAACACTAAATGATGGCTACTGCTTAGCAGTGACCACAGAAACTCTATGCACAACAGACCATAGATGAGCTGTAGCAGTAGTAAGTTGTTTATACTAATTTAGGGAAGGCGTGAACTAACAACAGCTACTTCTCTGTGATCGGTGAATTCACAAATACTATTAATATATAGAAAACACTGACACAAAAGCATTACAGTAAAAACATAATGCAAAGACTGGACGAGAGTTCCAGTAGCTTATAATACTGTGCTAATGACTAGTTAAAGTCATATGTGCATATATATATGTATATATACACACATATGTGTGTGTGTGGAGATACACACACATGAATATAATTAAGTGCATATATATGTGTGTATATACATATATAATTCATGTATATTTATGTGTAATATAGGTAAACACATATGTAATTTTTATATACATACCTACACACACATATATATGACAGATACTTATCACTCTGTAAACTGTGGACTTAATTTTTACCTTTCCAAGCCCTAAAAACAGTTAAATTTTACTAAAAACAAACTAAAACAAGTTACATGGACGATTTTTCAGCTGACCTGTTTGGATTGAGTGTGTTAACTGTAGCAGTGAATAAAATAGGTAAAATACTAGAGGTCCAGTTAATTCTCTTAGAATATTAATGCTAAAAGCCCCTCTTAAGGTCACTGAGTCTGACTTCAACCCTTTACAATGGGGAGACAGAAACAAATGAGGAGAAATCACTTTTCTAATATTCACATTAGTAATGCTGAGATTAAAAGAAAAATGGCCAAATACCCTGTTCTGCTCTTTTCTCATAAGCCAGAAAATGCCCTAAAAGCACTATTTCACTCTATTAACACCATTAGAGAAGTTTCCCTCCAGTATGAGCCAGGTGTAGAGCCACCTATAAACTCTGAGTGGCTGATACAAGTAAGTTACAGTGGAGAAGGAAGATAGAATAATAAGTATGGGTCAACCTAGAGATACTCAGAAGTTTACTATAATAAAAACATTATGTTTTTCAAGTTGACAAATATGACATCAACTACCTGAGATAAAAGGCACAAGGGTATAGGAGAAAATGCAGGCAAGTCCTATAGTCAGTTACAGGAACAGTTTCAGTAATACTGCTCTGTATCATCTACATGGGTGTCAGTCCAGCTGTGATGGTGTGTGGGACAGCAGAGTGAGCAAAAGAGCTCATTATCCTCAGGTAAAGTAAATTTAGACCCTGCTTATCTTTCAGTTCAGGGCCAAAGGCTGCCCCATAATATTAAAATGAGAGAGGGGCAGGAGAGAGAGAAAGAGAGAGAGAGAGAGAGAGAGAGAGAGAGAGAGAGAGAGAGAGAGAGGGAGAGAGGGAGAGAGGGAATAGAGACAAGTAATAAGAGGGATAGAAGATGTAGAAGAAAAAATGTGCATCAACCAAGTCTTTGCCTGCAAAAAACATAGTGACATCAGAGACTGGTGACAGACTGGTGACACAATCATTCTGAAACTCAGTATTGCCTGAGGAAACAGAACAGCTAGTCACACAGTCACCCTGAATTTATCCCTATGGGAAGGCTTCCACAGAATTGTTTTCTGTCTGTGAAACAATAAATTGGGCATAAAGGAGGAACTCTTTCTTCCCAAGTACCCTTGCATATGTTACACTTTCATTGTCCCTTTCAAACGTTTTTCAGGGATGAATAGGAGAGACCCTGCTCGCCACTTCTAGACCACCTGGAACTTTTCTTCACAGGCATGGCTACCTGCAGCTGCTTCCAGAACCTGCCCTGTGGATACTTGGATTTCTCCCCTTTCCATTTAATGACCGTGAGCACCGCCTTAGCCCTCTTCAGCTCTTTCACCTTCGTTTCCTTCACAGCTTTGTACTGCACTAAAATGACGTTGATGTTTCCCCGATAGGCCATGTTTTCTAGGCCAGCCTTGAGCTCCAGGAGGGCTTGGGTTCCCTGGTGCACGTAGTTGGGGCTTAGGACAACCAGGAGACGTCTGCTTTTCTGAATGAAGCTCAAGGTCTCATCTGTGACAACTGGGAAAGAAAACACCAGGGGGATTAGTGTTGGCCAAGAACTCCCCAAAAGCATGGGGTTTGAGGAGCAAGTGTTGGGAACTTAGGATATCAGCCTGAGAGTTGAGGTGAAAGTTTTGACCAAGAACACTTTGAACAACTTAATCCTTAGATCCTATCACTCAGTTCACTAAATGCCACTCTCCTCAGGAAGAATAGTAACTACATGCATATATTCTAAGACCTAAATAATTCCATGCAGGGCTGAAGCCAAAATGTGCTTCCATAACATTGGTCTTCAAAAAGCATTATTTGGTATATCAAGGAATAAAAGGTTTGTATTGAAATAAATTTCTTCTAAACCATGTGGCATGTTGTGTCCCATCTAAAGCAGCTCCTCAGCCCTTTCTCCTCAAAGATGTCCATGTATCAACTCTCTATGGCCAGTGAGCATTCATTAATACATACATTATAGGGTCAAAATCATAGAAATATATTTTTCACAAACACAGAACAGCAAGAGCAAGACTCTTCATTTTTTGCAAGTCCCTCTCTGTTGCCAGACACCTCCTGACTAGAATGCCATCGAAATGGGAACTTAAAAACCATCTAGCCAACTAAATGGCATCTTGGCTTACATCACATTCTCAGCTCAGTTTTCTATTCTGATCTCTACTCAGGAAGCTAAATTAATCCCTGGATCTTTCTCCTTCAACCCCGATCATTGTGATGAAGCCATGTGTTTCAGCAGCTGCTAGCTGATCTGTCTGCCTTTACCACCAGGCAAATGTTTTCTTCAGGTCAGAAGAAAAGAAAGAATAAAGAAAATGGAAATGCACCTTAACGTTATTCTGTTGTCAAGGCTTTGGTTAGTTCCTGTCAGAAAACTCTTGGGAATAATCCATCTCCAGGTTGCTTATCAGAGACTGTTTAATCCTTTATCTGAGTTCAGATAGGAGCCAAATCTAGGAAATAAACTAGTGTTGTGTAAAGCTATTTCATGACTTACCATACTTTCCTAAACGGTCGTTTTGTTCCTTAATGTTCACAGATACAGAGAGAGTGGGGGAAAACTTGCAATTAAAATAGCATGTGCAGCCTGGAGCAGAATCCAGAAATAAATAATCGTCTATTCCAAGCAGTATTGTTGTGAGCTGACCGTGTGTAAACACGGAAAGAGACCCAGAGGCAAAGAGAGGACCCAGGAAGAACAGCAGGGAAACTCAGAAAGATCACAAGGATCAAACATCAAAGCAGGATGCAAGAGTAATTATGTGGAACTTGAATTCTTTAAACAACTATCAACCCCTATTGGAGGGTCTTACATCATTTTTATGCTATAGATCTTTATATAATGTCCACACAATCGGTAAAAATTTTTTGAATAGTTGCATATATGAATGAATACATGAATAAATTATTTAGGATTTTAAGTCTTAAAATGAGTGGAATGTATCCTTTATCTCTATAATCAAGCCATCATTTCCTGGCAAAATCATACTGAAGGAGATGTCCACTGCAGAACACACACAAGATAAGTGATCTAGCTAATTCAAACATGAGAACAAACGTAAGTCTATGTTAGATTAGAATTAAATTTAGGCCATTTGCAATTATCTGTATAATAGTTTTAAAAAACATGCAAAGTGATTAGTGATTAATGTAAACAGTATTTTAGGGGAGGAAAATTTGTTGGGCTGAAGGTTGGAGACATCACATTCATTTTCAAAGTCTGAAGATTAACAGTGGATTTAGGAATGCTTTTATATATTCATAAAACAGATTCAGATGGGCCATTACTTTGAATGTGACAGGATGGACCTGAAAATTAGGCACATACTTTTGTGTTAAAACATTCAGCAGTTCTATCTTCTTTCTTTTTAACCTACTATTCAATAGAATGCACTGGACTTCGTAAAATTTTAAACTATATTGCAAATGTGTGAGCTGATGGAAAGGAAGAAACTGACCCAAAAGAAAGGAGAAATTGAGTGGTGTTAATTTGCTGGAAAACAAAAGTGAGGAAAAGGAAATTGGCAAATGCCAAAGGGAAATATTCTAATTATTATTAGTGAGTAATATAAAGAAAAATTCCATGCACTCTCTCTGCAATCCATTTTTAGTAAAATTGAGTAAACCTTAGTCTTTGTAAAAATGTTTTGTTTAAACTCAGTTTATGCAGGAAAAATTCTTGGCAAATTAATGTAGATGAGCTAAACCTTTGAAAAATCTAAATGTGAGTAAAAAGGATGTTTAAAGCTATGACATTTATAGAGCTCTATTCCACTGTACATCCAAATTTCTCTGAAATTGAATTTTTAAAGCTTATAAGGGAAAATATTTATACTATAAACTGTATTTGAATAGTCTACATCTTCCAATGTAGTTTTATTCCTAGAGAGTCTCTGTCTATTATATCAAATAATTGGACATTAAATGTCCAAAGATGCCAACATAGAGCTGGGCCATGATTTTCATCCATGATCCAAAGCTAGTGATCCCTCTTGTCTTTCAAGGTAGCATCATTTGTACTCATCGGAAATACCTACTTCCCCCAGGCAGGCTGTCTCGGTCAAAGATACACAGCTTGTATCCAAATTCATTCTCCAAAACTCCACGGAGGGTCAGTAATACAAATTCTTCTTCTTCGGCATTCCTTGCATAGGATACATAAATATCATATTCCTTCCCATCTAGAAAAAAGGATCACAGATTCAATAAAAGTTAGGTAAGTTTCGCAATAGTATTGCATATTTTTCTTAAGTAAAACTTTTAGAAATTAGGTATTCTCATTTTTTACACATATAAAGTATCTGATGGATTTCAATGTGATTTCCCACTTGTGACAGGTCTTCAGGCAAAATGACTGTTCCGAGGTATAATTGCAATTTTTATTGGATGTGGCTTCTACTCCCACCTCCCTGAGTTCAGTTTCTACGATGGAAAATAAGTGAGGTTTGGTTCATTAAACTATGGATTAACAGAATCAGGCAGTAAATAGTCAGTAATAAGTGCTGGTAATTAATGCCATGCAGAATATTTCTACTGTCTTATTATGTTACTCACTAATATATTACAGTTATAAATGGAAAAAAAACTTTTAGAAATGTTCTAATTTATACCTGAAAATAATTCTAATTAAAATATACTTATAGTCAATAAACCAACCTTTCCCAAAGTTGTCTAGTTATTAAAATTACTTCTCATTAAAATCACGGGTTCTTTGTGTCTCTTCCACAAACCTACTGAGTGGGAATCTTTAAGCAACAGGTCTAAGAATCTATACCTTTAAATGTTCTATCCTTGTCTCCAGGAAATTACACACTAGAACCAAGCTTCTTAAATTTTAATGAGCACATGAACAACTTAGGAACATTGTTTAAATACAGATTCTAATTCAAAATAAGGGTTTGGCTTAAGATTCTGCTTTTAATGAATTCCTATGTGATTCTAATGCTTCCGGTACATGGGTCAGTCTGAGACAAAGAGTGGCTACTCAGCACTTGAAATGCAGTTAGTCTGAACTGACGTATGCTATAAGTGCAATACATATTGAATTTTGAAGAGTTTTAATACCAAAAAATAAGATTAAAATATCTTAATTAATATTAATTACAAGCTAAAACGTTAATATTTTAACATATTAAGTTAAATAGATATATTATAAAAAATTTCACTTTCTTTTTGGACAGTGCCATCTAGATTAAATCCCATATTGAAAAAAGAGAAATGTTTTAGAGATATTTTCAATAGTAAGAGCTAAAACAAAAGGTAGTCCGATTAAATCTCCCAGTAAATCTAGACTTTGTTGAGCCAAAATGTCTTTTAAAGATGACAATAGAGATTTACATCAAACTTCCATTACTCACCTAAAATGGTTTCATCTGTTCCAAAGTGTGCTCGGTAAAACAGGACCATCTCCAGCCAGTAAACATGGTAAACGACAATGAGAACCACCACCAGCAGGACTGTGACTCCAAAACCACAGGCCAACTCCACTGTGTATCTTGGAGCTACCACTGGAGTAAACCACAAAGAAATAATTGATTTCCACTTGGTGACCAGAATGGCCCATCATCCTGCAAATAACTGGATAAAGCAAGCAGCTGAGTCATGACCTGTTTTATATGTGTGAACAAGCAGAGATAATATGGTAGGAATTAGGCACTTTGTTTTAATACTTCATGTGTAGTATTTATCTTTTGGTTTCCAGTAACTGACACACAAGGCATTTTTAACTATTAAATGATTTCAATAGACTTTGATGAGATACAAATTAAAACAGAATCTTAGCATTGGGAAGGACTTAGAAAGTTATCTAATTCAGTTTACAATCTGATTCCTGACTTTCCTCAAAAATATTTGAAAATATTCCAACTTTTGTTTGTCTTTCTCTTGGGCTAGAATCCTTACTACCACCTGAATGAGCCCATGATATTGGTAGAGTTTTAATTGTTGGAGCAGTTAAATGTAGCAAAATATTTCTTATTTATTGTTATATTTTTATTGCTGCTCACTTACAGTTTCCCAATTCCCCCCATTACTTTCCCCTGCCCTATCCATCCCCCACCTTCCACTTTCATACCTCCCCCCATGGTACTGAGTTTTATAAGTTCTTTATAAATTTTGGATATTAACCCCTTATCTGCTGTATTGGTGAATATGTTCTTCCATTCTGTGGGCTGTCTTTTTATTTTGTTGATGTTTTCCTTTGCTATGCAAAAGTATTTTTAGTTTGATTAGTCCCACTTGTTTATTTTTCCTTGTTTCCTTTGCCTGGGAAGATATATTCAATGAAAAATTTCTATAAGCAATTCCTGAGATTTTGCTACCTATGTTTTTCCTATGATATTTAAAGTTTTGCTTCTAATATTTAAATCTTTAATCCATTCTGAATTTATTCATGTGTGTGATGTAAGGAGATGGTCTAGTTTCATTCTTCTGCATGTATTTATCTAATTTTCCCAACACCATTTATTGAATAAACTGTCTTAAGCCCATTGTGTGTGTTTGCTTCCTCTGTAGAATATTAATTGACTATAAAGGTGTGGATTTATTTCTGGACTCTCTATTTTGTCCCGTTGATCTGTGTGTCTGTTTTTATGCCAGTACCATGCTGGTTTGGTTACTATGGCCTTATTGTATAGTTTCATATTAGATAGTGTGATTCCTCCAAACTTGTTTTTCTTTCTCAGGATCCATGTTGCTACGTGGGGCCTTTTGTGTTTCCATATAAATTTTTGAAATAGTTGTTATAGTGTTGTGAAATACATCTTTGGAATCTTGATAGTAATTGTGTTGAATCTATAGATTGCTTTGGGTAGTGTGGACATTTTAATGATGTTAATTCTTCTTATCCATGAACACAGTATGTGCTTTAACTTTTTTGTGTCTTCTTCAATTTCTTTCTTCAGTGTCTTAAAATTTTATGAGAACAGGTCTTTTACATCCTTGGGTAGGTTTATTCCTAGGTATTCCATGAATCTTAATTTTGTTCTCTTGTCCAATGCCACATGGAAGAAGTTTAATTTCCTTTCTTTTATATTTGGAAATGGGCCTCAAAAAGTTTATTTTCATTGAGAAGAAACAGAGGGCATCACCAAATGCTCCGTGTGTGGGGCTCTGAAAGTTACCTCTTAGGTCTATGTTCTAGGATACACTTTCCAAAGACAGACTTGGAACATCCAGGTACTGGCGAATTTTATTATATTGTAGTTTGTGTACATGCTTGCTTTTCCACTCCCTCTCTCAGTTCCCACTAAGTTTCATGTTTACAGTCTTCTTCATGCATCCTATCCCTAGAACACCTAGGATCTGAATGGCTATTTCTAGATACAACTTTGTGTAATTCTGGATATATTTTTTAAATTTATTAAATTTTAGACACAGAGAGAAGGATAGAAAGATCATTTTGTTGTTCCACCTATTTATGCATTCACTGGTTGTTTTTTGTATATGCTCTGACTGAGGATTGAACCTGCAATCTTATGTATCATGATGATGTTTCAACCAATCGACCTACCCAGCGAGGGCCACTTCTTGGATATTTTTAAAAAATCTAATACTATATTAGATACCAGCAACTTCACTTGGCTGCTTTATTAGTTTGTGATAATGAAGCCTATGAGTTTGAAGAAAGAACAGAATATCTACTAGATTAGAAGCATGAATGGCTCACATTATATATTAGATTTGACAATTATTTTTTGACATCTACTATTTGCTAGAAGCTATTGGGTTACAATCATAGATAAGAAAGAAAGGGTCTCTGCCCTCTTAGGGTTTATGTTCTAATGTAGAAAACAAATAAATATGCATGACAGTTCATTTTAGATAGGGATCAGTGCTATGAAGTAAACAAGCCACATCTATCTCAGGGCAATGTGATAGAAGTGACTGAGTGGTGGGGTTGGGCAGGAGAGGTACATTAAGTAGTTGATGAGATCAGGCATCCTTGAGCACCTGAACATTGTCAGTGGTCTTTGCTGAGATAAGGCATAGTAGAATTTTGTTCACAGCTAAAATTATTGAGGTCCCCTGACTGCCAATCCAGAGATCTTTGCCCAACATTACCATGATGTTTAATTAGTGGTCATATACTAGCAGAAAATGCCCTTTTAAAATAAGTATCTCTCCAAAGGTGAAAATGGTAAGCAGCCCAGAGCTCAGCCTGAAGATCTCTAATTAAAGGGCAAATCATAGTTCTGAGTTCATTTTCCTAAACGCAGGATACAAATCCTGCCGCAGATATAGCTTGGGATTCAGCAGTGCAGAATTATTATCAAGTACTTTTGTACTCGCTCCATGAATAACAGTGATTTAAAATAAGAAAACTCCATTATAAATTGCCAGACACTATATCAGTGCAGTTGTTGAGGATTTACTATGTTCAATTTGGGTAGCTGGCATGAAAATTGCTGTGTCCTTGGTATTTCTGAGTACGTGTTATGTTAACAGCACACTGGGGTAGTTCCCACTGTCATCTTCATTATTTGCTCAGTTATTTTGGCTCCCTCTGGGTAGACATGTTATAGTAGGGAGGAAAAAAAAAGAGGTCAATGGATGCAATTGCCTGAAATGGATTTTAAAAAAATATCAATAGATATCTTACTTAATGATCAAGAGATCAATTACCCTCATACATTTCCCTCTGCCATGTTCATTTTACTACTGCCTATTTTATTTCTAGTGGGGCTTTTTAATTGTGTTTTGTGTCTTACAATTATATGTGTCATATTTACAGACTGTATTTTGTGGGACCATCTTGATGATATCAGGAAGTTCTTAATGCTATTTAACTAACTGAACTCTTAAGACATGTAATCTACACGCCTAAATTGCTAAGTGACTTAAATCACATGAAGAAAGTGTTCTAAAAAAGCTTTCGTATTAAGTTTGCTGGCTTGCAGGGATAGGGTGACCCTCAGCCCACATTTTCTATCTGCCCCAGCTAGAACGTCTGGTATTTTGGCATAAAGATTTTACTCTGATGCAATTCCAAACCAAAGGGTTTCCAATCAGGAAGAAACAATGCATTTTGATCAGGTTGGTCCTAAACTGCTTCTATCTTTGACTTCACTGATAATCTGTTTCAAGATGCAGCCAAATTTAACCATTTGCTCTGCTGTTACTCCCTGATTCAGAATTCCTGCCATCCCTTTTGCATTTCTACAGTAATAACCAGCTTCAAAGCCCAACTTTTTAGCTAACCACCCTTAGTGAAAGCAGGCCAATATCTTAGCTCTAGACTTTTTTCCCATTTCTAGTTATGAGTCTTCTTGGAAACCTGTTATTCTTATCATCTTCATTACTACAGTTGGAGTTTTGCTGTCCCATTGAGTCTCCCAACCAAAATGCCAGCTGCTTGGACTCCAAGCATTCCCTCCATATCCTTTGCTAAATTGCTGGGACTTATCAGTAATTTTTAGAACCGTGGTGATGACTATTTTCCCGAATTACAAAGGAAATGCTTTATTTAAATGGTAGTGACCTAAAAACCTATAACCTGGTTGACCTGCAGACCTGGTTTGTTTGCTGTCACAGTGTGATAAAGCTTGCCCATCTTGGACCTCAGCTGCTTGCCTCAGAGAATGATCGATACTGGAGTAGCCTTTTCTCCATTTCATCTAACATAACTGGTAGTGCAGGAGTGTGATCTGCAAGAGAAGGGGTACAAGAAAGGGAAGCCCCTCAATTGCTCTGGCTAATTGCCTGAAGGCACTTTTGGGACAGTGGCACAAAAATGGGGAAACCAAAAGTACACTAGCTATGCTGAGCTAAGGGGATAGAAAGTCAAGTCCAGGACTATTGAACACACAGGAGTAAACACTGAAGAAAAGTGTAGAAACAGAGCTTTAGAAATCCTCAAGTATTTGGAAGACTACAAAACTTTGCATATTAAGGATGACACCTTCACAAGGCCAGAAACAGAATAGATGAAAGAAAAATTACCAGGAAAGAAATGACTACTAGACAGCTGGGAACTGAACAATCCTAGGAGTACATGCAGAGATGGGAGACATTTGAGTTAGGACCACTCAGAGTGAAGAAACCTAGCTCCTCTATTATTAAGCAGAAACCTGACTTGGGCTAATGCCTCAGAATTAGGTCCAATTTTGCCTCAGAGAGGCTATTTTAGGCCTACTGTAGCAATGATAAGCAAGATGCTTAAAAACAAAACAAAACAAAACAAAACAAAACAAAAAAAGCAAGCTGTTATGTAAGCAAATTAACTAACTGCCAGAACAAAACTTAACACTTAAAAAATTCAGACATTCAATAATATAATATCTGTAATGTCCAATAGGTTGAAAAAAAAAACTAGGGAGACAAAGCAAAAAATCAAAAAACCAAAAGATTCACAATGAGGAAAAAATAGCTAATAAAAACAGAGTTGACAATGATGATGGAATTAGAAGATAAATCTTTAAAATGAGTATTGTGTGAGAGCAGATGCCTTGCACATACAGTGAGTGCTTGCAGCCTCCACACCCTCCTGCAATGCTACATCCAGGATCCCACCAGCTTTCCTGGCCACCATGGCCAACAAAGAAGCAGCCTTTGATGATGCAATAGAAGAATGTGTGATCAGCAAACTGTACAAAAACTAGAAAAAAAAAGATCTCTTTTCTTTACAGTTTGGTAATGACCTATACTCTGGAGTGGTCCAGCCTAACTGCATAGCAGTTTCCAGATGTAACCAGACCAGAAGGGAAAGATTTCATCATTCACCAACTTGTCCTGGGGACACACACATCAGATGGACAAAACCACCTTGTGATAACCAGTGTGTAGCTCCTTAGCTGTGATGCTGTTTGACACTTCACACTACAACAGAGAGAGGAGGACTGGAGAATTTGGAGGTGTTGGCTCTGTTAGTGGAACAAATTGAAATAGAAATCAAGATCAACCCGGAAGGAGAAGTAAAGGGGAACATTGTATGTCTGGAACACTTGCATCATTGCAACGAAGACTCCATCCAGTGACGTTCTTGTTTTTGACTATACAAAACATCCTTCTAAACCAGATCCTTCTGGAGAGAGCTACCCAAACATGGGTCTCTGTGGGCACCAGAAGGAAGGGCACCTTTTTTGAAGGGCACCTTTCTTGAAAACCAAAGCTCAGTGGGCACTTAGTGCTTCAGATTTCTATAACACCTGCCTACAGGATCTCAGTGCTGTTCCAAAGGAAGGAAAAATTGTGGCTGCTAAGACCGTCTTCACAGGGCATACAGCAATAGTAGAAAATGTTCCTCTGGCATGTGCTCCATGAGTTTCTGTTAGGGTCAGTTGTTGATGATCAGAAACTTCTGATCTGGGACACTCATGCAAACAATACTTCCAAACCAAGCCACTCAGTTGATGCTCACACTGCTGAAGTGAACTGCCTTTCTTTGACACAGGGTCAGCTGATAAGACTGTAGCCTTGAGGGACCCAAGAAATACGAAACTCAAGTTGCATTCTTTTGAGTCACGTTAGGATGAAATATTACAGGTTGCCCCACAGTGTGACTATTTTGGTTTTCAGTGGTACTATTTTGATCTCAGTCTGAAGGTATGGGATTCAAGTAAAATTGGGGAGGAACAATCCCTGGAAGATGCAGAAGAGGAGACACTGAAGTTGTTTCTTCATGGTGGTCACACTGCTGAGATACCTGATTTCACCTGGAGCCCCATTGAACCTCAGGTGTTCTGCTCTGTGTCAGAAGACAATGTCATTCAAGTGTGGCAGGTAGTAGAGAACATTAATAATGATGAAGACCCTGAAGGGAGCATGGATCCAGAAGGACAGGGGTCTTAGATCCATCTGCACCTCTTGTGATTTTAGACTCCTCTTTGTTCTCCTCTCAACCCTGATACTGATTTAACACTGGTTTTGAGACACAGACTTTGTTCAGTTATCTCTCTATAGTAGGTACCATTAACAACACTATTACCCTCAACCCAGGGTGTTTTCTAAATATTAAGTGGGGGGCTTGTGAGCAAAGGCACAGACTTACATTTAAATTTCCTTCAGGAATTTTTTTAGTAAGAAAGATCTAAAGTAGCCACTGAAAAAGGAATAATATGGGTAGTTTTTTTTTTCTTATGCTATATCCTCAGATTATTTAGACTCATTTAAGTAAAGGGTAGAAATACGGAATAGAGCCAAGTGAAGTGGTGTCTGAGCCATGAAGTACACGTCCTACAATATGCTACTTTTATTCAGGAATTAGGGGAGATTCAAGTCATATAAATTCCTACTCTAAAATCTTTACACCTGACTTTCTAAGATGCACATTTTCTTAGGTAAACTCAGTTTCTTAAGTCAAAATTATGTTTCTTTTTCCCCATGTATTTTTGCTTGTTAATGTACTTCTTGAGCTGTTTTCATATTATTTCTTTCCTTTCTGTAAAATATTTTTTAAACTTGGGGCTACCAAGTATGTTTTTACCTGACAAGTAGACTGTCGGTTAAGAAGAGTGAATTGTTATGAGTTTCCCCCCCACCCACAAGAATTAGTCCTTGAACACTAGTTTGATGCTATCTCTGTTTTGGGCAGGTCTGTTATTCTCTATGATTAGCAGTGTAAGTGTTTATAATGGAATAAATTGCTTTTCTGCATAAAAAAATAAAGTGAGTATTACAAATATACTTGTTGATTTTTAAAAAGAGATCAAGAGTACTGTAAAAGCAAATAAAAATATCAATATAGATATTGTAATAAAGAAATGGAAATTCAAAAACTGAAAAATAAAATTTTCAAATTAAAAATGCTGAAGATTAACACCTGGCTGGCGTAGCTCAGTGGACTGAGCACAGGCTGGGAACCAAAGTGTCCCAGGTTCGATTCCCAGCCAGGGTACATTCCTGGGTTGCAGGCCATAACCCCCAGCAACTGCACATTGATGTTTCTCTCTCTCCCTCTCTTTCTCTCTCTCTAGCTCCCTCCCTTCCCTCTCTAAAATGAATAAATAAAATCTTTAAAAAAATGCTGAAGATTAGACATCAAAAAAAGAAATAGACAGTGAACACTAACTAGAAACCACCTTAAATTAAACACAGGGGTGGGGAGGATAAAATAAAAATAATGAGAACCTCAATGTGCTGTGGTACAATACCAAGTACTCTATTTTAAATTTAATTGGAGTACTAGAAGGAAAGGAAAAAAATAAATGAATAAAAGGATGAGCAAAACATATTTGAAAAAATAATGCCTAATTGTTTTCCAAATTAAATTAAAATATAAACTCACCAAACCAAGAAGTTTAAAGAACCCTAAATAAGACACATTTAAAAAGCAACCTCAAAAGATATCATAATGTAATTTTGAAAGTCAATGAAGAATAGAAAATCTGTTCACATTCCTGACACCATTCATACTAAACCATCCAGAGCAAGCCCTTCTGTGGAAGGGCAGCTACTCAGTTCGCTCTGGTGAATAGACTTCTGCATCACTCCTGACTCAACATTTGTCTAATTGGTTACATTGATCTTTTCCACCTGACAATAAATTATTAATTTATGTCAGCCTCCATGATTGTTTCCAAAAACCTGTGCCTCTGAAGACAAGTCCCACAGTATGTTCCATACTTAGGGAATTTGGAGTCCAGTGTACTTGAAAAAATCCTGCCTACTGTATTTCAACCCCCTTCAGATATTCATATTTAATATTAATATGCTAAAGACACTAAGGGTCCCTGAACTAGATAGAGTATTGTGATTGATTTTGTTTAACCTAGACTTCAGTGATACTTATGTGACTATACAGGCCTTTGTCAAGTAACATCTATGGAAATCTTGTGGAAATAATAAGAAGGGCTAAGATTTATTATGCATTTAATATATATGTATATATGCCAGTAACTGTACTGAGTACTTTAAAACAATCTTATGAAGAAGTGCTATTATTTTCCTACTTTAAATACTTTTATTGATTTGAGAGAGAGAGGAACATTGATTAGTGCCTTCTATATGTGTCTGACCAGGGACTGAACCCACAACCTAGGTATATGCCCTGACCAGGAATCAAACTCCCAACCTCTTGATGTATGGGATGATACTCCAATCAACTGAGCCACACCAGCCAGGGCTATTTTGCCTACTTTAAATATGAAAAAACTGAAGCTCAGACAGGTGAATCATCTCTTCTAAGAGCTGGGATGCATAAAAACAGAATTTGAACACAGACCACCTGAATCTAGAGTCTTAGCAGTGTTATGAGGAACGAACTTTAGGGAGTGCCATCTTAATGACATGTAGTTGAGTATTTTCTCTTTACATTGACCTCTGAAGGGACAGAGGCGATTGACTATCCAGAACTAATCTAGTAGGACTTCCTAAGAGGCATATACACTTTTAGCCTTTGCTCTTTACTTCCTAAATTGTAATAAAATTGGTAAGATGAAACCTGTTGTTTCATCAGCTTTTAAAATGGCTTAAATTCCACTGGAAAATGTAACAATTATGAATTAGCTTTTTAAAACAAAAACTTTTGATATAAATAGAGTAGGAACTATCTGTCATCCAGATCCAAAATAATTCTGAATGACTTGGCTGCAGGTATGATAAATGATCATTATCTTTCTCTAGATTACTGGAAAACATTCTGGAAGGGATTAATTTTCTGGTATTCTAAGAGAACCAAAACTAATTTTAGATGTGGTCTATTTTAGGAACAACAGCTCACATAAGAAAGCCTCAAAATGTTCATTTATTATAGAAAAAATATAGTACTATCAACACTGAAATCATTTTACATCATAGTTTCAATAATTTTCGCCTTAGCAATTGTGGAAATGGTATATTTTAAACTTGCTTGAATATTGACACATAGTGTTTGAAGCAATCATTTTTAAAATATTTTTGAGAGTAAATATTTTATATCTATCTTAACTTGCACACAATTAGATGGTTGCTATTTATAATGTTTTATTATTATAGATAATACTAAGAATACAGATAGGTGCATAATCCTCTTTCTGTTATTTACTGAGGAAGAATTCCAAAATATTAAGTCATATGGTATGATCATTTTTATGACATGAACTCTGCCAGCAATGATTTCTAAAAGGGTCTTTACAATTCACTAACAATATGTGACTCTGTTTCATTATGTCTTTGGTAACTTTAAATATTTTCTGTATTATTCATTTTTATGACTATATAAATATGAAATAATGCCTTATTATCATCATGGATTTTTAGTCATATTTAGGAACTAATTACTATAGCTATTTTTAGTATATTTGCATAGATGGAAACTTTCCCTCAAGATTTTTCATTCAACTTCCATTCATTACTTTGTGGTAAATGCTGTGCTAAGTGCTGAAGCCCACGTTCTGAATTCTCGTTTTTCTTCATCACCACAATCTTATGTTGGCATTTCCAGGTTCATCTGCCTGGTGCATGCATCCATTACCTTTCTGTTTCACCTTGGCTGGCTGGTAAACCTCCCCTTTAGCATTTCTAGCATGACAGACATAGTTGCGTTTGAGATCTTCAGCAGTAACTTTCTTGATGATCAGAACTTGAGTTTTTGTTTCATCTTCTATTTTGCTGAAACTTACACTAGAAACAGGGGAAAGAAAATTAGAATGTCAGTGAGACTCAATGGCCATGGACTGTGTGTGACTCAGTCAAGCAACCAGAGAGCCCTCAGGTGAGGGCAGATAAAATGGTGATAATCTGTGTGGCCTTGTAATCTCATGATTACAAAATGAGAATGGTTTCTAGATTCTAATACTATTCTTCACCATCTATACTGTATACAAACCCAATACCTGGATCAAATCCCACTGTTGACACCATACTACAGATATAGATCTCGCTAACTCTCTTCAAAGCAAAATGTCTCCTTTCCTCAAACTTCTGAGCCAGGATGCTATATACTGGTTTAGAGAGAAGCTTCTGAGGCCAGATCCATTTAGGTTTTCATCCAGGCTCTGCCACTTACTGGCTGTATGCTTTCAGCATAGTAACTAATCTTCCCATGTTTTGAGATCCTCGTCTGAAAAAGAGGAAGGTGGCAATGCCTAAACAATGCATTACACATATTAATTTACTCAAGAACTCTGAGGATTGAGTATGTTGATGTGTAAGTATTAAAACAATACTTAATAAATGTTCGTATTCTTTATATAGGCTACTAATATTCCTCGGTAATAGTTGATGCATTTCAGGAATTCCTAAAGCTTGGAATTTGAATGCAAGTAGACTCTTTCATTCAAAATACTAAAATCTCATGTAAAATCTTAACATATAAGAAGAAGAAACTTCTCAAAGTAAGGAAACTTTGTGAAAATAAATGTACCTACATCTCAGAAAGTCAGAGATCGAATGCTTTGGGTCTAAGATCAAGATTTCCCTTTAAACCACTTTATTCAAAAAGAAAAAAAAATGTTACAGCTGACTGATATCCAGGTCCACCTTCTGCTAACGCTTACTGTCCATCATGAGAACTTGGTTAAGGACTATGCTGGGCTTAGGTTAAGTTTAACTGTGCTGTTCAAGTGTGAGCAGTGAGTTGTGTTTCAGCAGCAGCAAGGAGGAACACCATGACTTTCATTATTATTCATCCATCATCAGCATAACGATGAGAAGCACAATTCTCAGAATTCCTAAAACCATCAATAATTCTCCCTTTGTGCCTCCAGCCATGTCTTTCATCAATTTCTTCTACAAAAACTGTTCCAGTCTCAGCAGGCTCCTCTGTACCTTTAAATATGTCTGCTTCTCTCACCTCCAGGCTTTTGACATGATGTTCCTTTTACCAGGAACATTCTGTTGATTTTCTTACCTAGTTTATTTCTACTCACTTTTTCAAATCTTTACTTAGGTACTCTGAGATCTGGGAAGCATTATCTAATCCCTAAAACTGACTAGAATCCCCAACTCCATTTTCCCCTAACATGTAATGCTTCCCAGCCCCTGCATGCATCAGATTAGAGTATTAAAATTTCTGCTCTATCATTGGCTACTCCTACGAAATATACTCAACAAGTATCTGGCATAGTAACTGATGCAAAGAAAACACTTTATAATACCTTCACAAAGTCTGAATTTACTACTAGGAAAGAAACATCTTTTGAATTCTGGAAGTGTTAGCAGCCTAACATCTATTTACACATTAGTGACAAGGCTTAGGGTCTTAGAACTACTTTGTCATGTAGTTGGCCAGCTGCTAATTTTTATTCATTGTTGCAGTAAAACAATTGCTCTTTGGTAGTTATATGCTTCATTTACTGAAGAATCTTTTGTCTTCAAGATCCGTATTTTCCTCCTTGTCAACCTACCGCCTTTTAAAAAATCATGTGTATTTTGAAATAAAGTGACCCAGCTTGTTATTTTCAGAGTGAGGTATAGCCCTGACCACTGTGTCTTAGTTGTGTGTCTTTGCTTTGTCCACAAAGCAAAAGGTTGCCGATTAGATTGCCAGTCAGGGCCTTGGTTGTGGGCCAGATCCCTGTTTGGGGAAGTGAGAGAGGCAACCAATCAATGTTTCTCTCTCACATTGATGTTTCTATCCCTCTCTTTCTCTTTCCATTCTCCTCTCTTTAAAAATAAATAAGTAAAATCTTTTAAAAAAAAGATTGAGGTATATATTATCACTCCATCCACTTTAAAAATAAAACTTAGAGAACATAAATGTATTTAGTCCCTATGAAAAAAATCATTATAAATGTGATTTATATGTTATGTGAATTAAGAAAGGCAAGGAGGAAGATAGAGATACATGCTTACTACAAGATAAGAAACTAACACAATTATCTGAGGCACAGGTATTTATAGGCCCGGACCCCAGAAGTGAGAAAGAAGAACAGGGCCACACTGATAGGTCTTTGTCCCTGCATAACCATATATTGTGGCCTTCTCATTCATGTAGGACATGCATTCCATCTACTTATAAGTAGGTATCGTAAATGTGTGATAATCAGATGGCATATGGACTTCAGACTGCAAGCCCAGTAACCAGTAATTCTTCTTCGGATGCAGCCAATAACAACTTGAAAATCTTGCTGATTTTTGTTAATGATAGGCAAACATCAGAATTTTTATTTTCATTGATTAGTACACACCAGAGTGTATTAGATTGAAGGACAGGGTTAGTTGCCCCCTTGCCTGCATCAATAATACCTTTCATTAACAGTTAGTTCAATAGTGGTGTCCTCTGGCTTTTTTCCATCAATGGTCCACCAAACATCATTGTGAGAGTCCTTCAGGAAGGTAAAAAAGACTTTACAGGGAATGAGTAACTCCTCTCCTTAAAAAAAAAATAACCCATTAGTTTGTAAACTTAGCATGGCTATATTTGTTCTACTCTGTAATTAATCATAAGCTCTAAATGTTAAATGCACCTGAAATCTTACTTCTCACTAATTTTCTAGTGGGCTACCATAGGATAATGTACCACCATACTTTACTGCAAATCAAACAAACCAAGAGGAGAAAAACAGAACCCTTATATGAAATAATTTATTAAAATGACCATCTTTCAATGCAGTCTATGTATGCTTTAAAATGACAGTTTTTGTTCAAAAAGTCTCTGACAATGTCATTTTTAGAGCTAAACCTCCATGGACTAATCTTCTTTGTTATTTCCCTTAGAAAGAAAAAGGATGACTAAGAAACGGTTCCCCAGATTTTTGGTCCTTAGCCCAGACAGAAAGAGCCAGTGCCACTGCTGCGAGGACTGGCTGCACAGGTTCATCTGGAGGTGTCGGGCTACCAGGGTGCTTTCAGTAAGTTGAAAGACAACTTACAAAGAGAAATCTACATTATCCTTCAAGATGGAATATGAGGTTGGGGGATTTCTTGGCAGAAAATAGTAGTAGTAATAGTAGTAATAATAAAAACAACAGCACGCTCACTGAGAATTTTGTATAATTTACTGTACTAAATATGTATACTTATCAATGTTATAATTTAATTTTAACAAAATACTATGAGACATTTTTTAAATTCATTTTTTACAGAAGTGAAACCTGAAGCTTAGAGATGTGAAATGCCAGTCCCAGATGAAACTGTTAATAAGACGAGAATTTGACCAAGAATGACCTTCTTCTATTCAGGGCTGCCCAGGACAGTTATGTTTTGGGCTTGCTTTCCTAGTTAGTTACTCATATCGACTGCTTTCAATCTCACACAGTGTATAGGTTGAGATGATAAATTAGACTGTCATTCTAATTTGAACTCAGGTTGTCTCCCCTAGTGCTGACACTCTGTCCTCTCTTCCCATGCATGGCTCTCATCCCTTCCCCTCCAGTTTTCTGTGTTAATATACAGGAAGATGAAGTGAACGTGGATTCAGGCATGCTTTTGTAACCATAATGTGAGAGGCAGATGAAACATATCTGGATGACTAAGTTTAACCTGATAACTGGAATGATGTTCAAATTGCTATATAAATCCACCACTAATTCAAGAAAATTTGGTCCATTTGGGTTTGACAGAGCCTTTAAGTGTGTTCTTTGTATTTTTACAAGGCACATCACTATTTGACACCTTATCTTAATTTGTATGTGGGGGATATTGTTGCTCTCTACCTATGTTGATCACTGACTCTATTACCTTTATTTCATTTTAAACAAATGTACTTTTATAGCTCTCATTGGTTTGCTCTATTTTTTTTGTAAAAGATACAATACAGAAAACGTTAAAATTGTGTATGGCTTTCAGCTTAACTGTAGGGGGCTACGAGTTAGAAGAATAATAAACTTTACCTTATTTGGTCAGTAGCAAGTGATTTTTCTCTCTAATGAAAAATTATGAAAACTAAAGAGAGAACCAGACAGCCATAGCAAATATTTTATAGTGTTCTGAACCAGGGTGTATTGGTTGCATTAAGTGTTACTTATTATACTCACAGTCCTGACTCCAAGCTCCAACCCCACCCCTTTGTAGTGGAACAGAAGCTTGAAGGATGATGCCTTGTGCTCATGTTGCAGCCTTGGCAAACCAAAGCCTTGTGTCAGCTACCATTTGCATCAAAGAGAAATCACTGATCAGGAGAGGAAACCCACTAGCAGAGGAAGAAGGGAGCAGTAGCTGCTGAGATAGAAGCAGAGAATCCCTGAGTTCCCCATGGGATCTAATACCCAGAACTGCCTTGCTTTCTGACAACATCAGTTTCTGTGTGTGTGTGTGTGTGTGTGTGTGTGTGTGTGTGTGTGTGTTAACAATAGTCCTCTATTCTTTTGTGGGAACTTGTATGGCATTTTATTCCTTATAATTAAGAGAATCTAACTGAAATTCAGAAGCACAGCTATAATTACCTGGTTCTTTCTCGTAGACCACATGATCGTTGGGTGAATGGATCTGGGGGGGCAATGCATATATTGGTGAGCCTATGAGAGCATAAAGAACAAAGCGAGATGATGTTAAGTCATTCAGTTTCATCCTTTTTAATTCACTTCAAAAATCTTCTCTTCTGTGAAGCCTTGCCCAACTTCCTGGCATAGTTTGTCAATTCTTCTTGAGAAGGCTCACAGTCCAATATATAGTCAACCATAATATTTTAGTCATATAAAACAAGCAAAGAAACAAACATAATATATTGATTATTCTCCATATTTCAGAATAGAGTATTTAACCAGTGTTTTTGCTTTTCAAAGATTACATGAGCTAGACTTCTCATACTATATCATAATGAATTGCTCTCATGTCTTGCTCAATTGTTTATTCTCTATATATTTCTCCTCAGCATACCCATAGTGCCTATAGTATAAGATGTAGTTACACAAATATTAAATGAATGACTAAGTGGAAAATTTGAAATCACAATTATAAATCCAGCACAGAAGTACACCTGATGTCTAGTTATCAGTTGAAGGTTCATTCATAGAACTGATGCTCTTTATAACATTCGGTACTCCAAAACTGAGTGGAAAATATCCTGAAGGAGCTTCATATCATATTATTTAAGAGTACAGCCTTTGGCCCTGGCTGGTGTGGCTCAGTGGATTAGGCACCGGCTTGCAAACTAAAGGGTCACTGTTCAATTCCCAGTCAGGGCACATGCCTGGGTTGCAAGCCAGGTCCCCAGTGGGGGTTGCACAAGAGGCAACAATACATTAATATTTCTCTCCCTCTTTCCTCCCTCTCTCCTCCTCTGTCTAAAAATAAATAAAATCTTTTAAAGAAACATTTTTAAAAAGAGTATAGGCTTCAAATATTCAATGACCAGTGTGTACTAATCCCAACTTGGCCATATACTAACCATGTAAATCTGATTTTTTTACTTAATCTTTAAAAAGCTGATTTTCTTCAACTGTAAAATGAAAGTAATTAAACTCCTCTTACAGGTTCATTATAAGGATTAAAGTAAGTAATGCATATTGAAGCATCCACTGCATTTAAATGTATATACTAAGAACCACTGCCAAGATGAATATGAGGTTAGATTATTCATTTGACTTTTAAAGTCCATTCATATTAGGTTCTAAATTTAGTCTGAATTTTCTTCTGAATTAGTCCCCAGCTCAGCACTATTCAGAAAGTAAGCAGAGAAAGGGGAGAAGTGATTACAAAAGTGTTTGATTTGAACTTATTTGCACTATATTAAAGTCTTTTTTAAAGAAATACATATGCTGAACCTGGTGTCAAGCTGGTAGAAAAGCCTGGAACAAAAAGTCATAAACCTGGGATTTAGACTGACTTCTACTACTGCATTGAATGTCTCCGACTAAACAGGTTACTTTCTGTTTTAGGGACTCGATGTTTCCATCTATTAAAAGATAGGATTTGAACTTTTTTTCACAAAAATGTGCAAATATCTTATATCAAAGATTAACAAGATATTTTTAAAAGATGATGATAAATTGCCTTTATTTAAGAAAAGATGAGGTTTGACAAAATCTCACTCTGATATGCTCTTATTTTAGTACAGTGGGCACAGCGGGTTTTAGGGTTCTCTACATACCACGATGCTGGCACACTGTCCTCTCCACTCTCCCAGTTTCTCCTCCCCTCGTCTCTCAGTGCAAACCCATGGTTGAACACTGCCACAAATACCTTCAGCACTGACTAAAATAGCAGTGCATAGGAATATATAGCTTGCTTAATTTGATTAAAACACTTTTTGGACAATAATATTAACTACTATTCATTGAGTCTTTACTGCTTGCCTGGAGCTACATTAGCATAATATGTATATTATTTCTAATATTCTAAGCTATCATAAACACTAGATAGTCTAAGTAGCAGAGTACGGATAAGGAGACTGAGACTTTGATCAAAATCCTATTGCTCATAAAATGGCAGTAGTGTGATTCGAACACAGATCTGTCTGTAACTCTTTTCACTGCTCACACTGCCTTTACATCACTTACTCAAATATTCATTCAATAGACCAATAGTTACCAAAGGCCCCCTATGCATGTGGTAATGCTGGAGGCTCTGGGGATAGTGCAATAAACAAAAAACTTAAGCTTTTTTAAAAAATATTTTACACACTTGTGGGTAATAAACTATTAACAGGCAAAACAAGATTATTGCATTTTTGTCATACGTACTTAATACGAATCATGCTTACCTACCACCTTTACAGTCAGAGTCCTGGTGAGGTGGAACTCGCGCCCATTTTCCAGATATGTAACGACACACGTGTAATCTCCATTATTTGAAACCAAGGCTATGAAAAAACTCAAGGTCATGTTTTTAGGTACCACATTATGAAAGTTTTGTATTTTCTGACAGCCCTAGAAGGAATACAAGAAAAGATATTTCCTGTTTAGATACATGCATAGAAAATTGACAAGCACATGCACACATCTAATTTTACACAGAATATTAAAAAATCTATACCGGTTGTACCTTTTACAAAACTATTTTGCTCGGGTATTTGATGATGTTTCTCTAAAGAGTGAATGCATTAAGTTTTGTTATCTTTTCTGCAAAAACAATTAAAGTTTTGAACTGTGATATAAATTCAAAAGCATAAGCTTCTTGTGTTGGGACCCAGTATTTGAATCCTGGGACCCCATGTTAACAGGGGGAAAGGCTAATGCAGTGAAAAACAACTAAGGCAGCATAAACAACTGCTTGCTCTGCTATTTCAAAAATATATATTTTCATTTTTCTACATTTCTTCACTGTTTATATCAATTCAGGAACCCAATCACTCTGCTTGACCCAATTGAGATGTATGATTTTGGCATTCTTGATCTCTCTGTGGAATCACTATATTAGCCATTTCCAAACTTTTCGGTGTTTTTCTTCTACTTATTCTGTGTGTTACAAATTGGATATCACAGAGTCCAGAGTCTAAAAATAAAATATATTTTATGAGTATTACCAAGAGTTTAATTTATTTCTGTTCCAACTCATATTTTAATATTTTGTCATTAAAATAGCTCAATCAATATAACTAGAATTCTGTTTGAATCTCTCAGCCCTGCTCACTGGATATATTGTTATTTTTTTGTTTGTTTTTAGAGAAAGAAAACGATGCACTCATTAGTGACCAAACATACACTGAACATTTACTTTTAGAAAAAATTCATGTTTGTTTTTCTTTAAAATACCCCAAAATTCATCTGTGATGAAAAAGATTAGGTATCTCTAACTTCCTTTAGATTTTTAAAATTCTGCAAGTCTATTACTGCCTTGTACTTTCAACTTCCTGTGTTTAAATATTTAACTGTAATTCTTGTATACTTAAGGTTTTCTTACTTCAATTCCTGGAGAATGTGTTTTGAAATAGGACAATTACACTAAGTGGCACATTTCGTAATTCTTTGTAACAGGAAATGCATCTTTTAATCATAGCACCAAACATTTCATTCATGGAGATGATTATCACAAGGAAGATAATGCTCAGTTATTTTCTGAATACAATTTGTTCTGTTTTGATAAAAGTGTTTCTAGAACTTGTCACATCAGCCAAAGATTTCAGTACTTTTAGGTTATCACAAAGTATAAGACCACAAAGGCTTGTACGTATAATGGATTTATGTCAGATTTGGTTTAAATTGAGTTTAGACTATGTATAGAGGTCTGTTTGAGTTTTGTGACACCTTCTACTTAAATAATTCAAAGATATTTTCTTCTCTCATTTGTTAGCTTAGCTGTTATTACATCCCTGTTAAGGAGACAGATCAGACTAAATATGCTCTAGTTTTAAAAGTGGAAAGAAAAAGAGCTGGACAGATCAAGAGACATTCCAAATGACACAGTGCAGACCTAAAACTCAGTTTTCCAGATAGCTCAATGCAGGTCTTTAACTAGGTTCTTAACTAAGAATAAACACCTCTGCTCAGCAGTTAGTTGAGGCTGGAAACAATTACACTGAGACACACACTTATATATACCACATTATCTCATCTGATCATTATTCCAAACTTAGCAGTTGCGAATGCTCTCATGTCCATTTTATAGATGAAGATACAAAGGCCTAGAAATGTTAAGTAATTGTCAATGCCAAAGAGCTTGGCAGTACAAGAGCTGAAATTTGAAGCTGGATATAGCTGTTTTAAGGCCTTTGCTTTTTTTCTCCCCAATACAACTTGCTGTTTTACTTCATTTTTAAAATTTTTTTTATTGAATTTTCCATTATTGTTTATCCCCCTTAATCTCCTCTCCCCACCACAGTCAACACACTTGTTGTCCATGTCCATGAGTTCTTTTTCTTATTTGCTCATTCCTCCACCCCCAACTGTGCCCTACCCCTCCAGAGTTATCAGCCTGCTCTCTGAGTCTGTCTCTATTTGGCTTGTTAGTTCAGTTTCTTCATTACACTCAACATATGAGTGAAATCATATGGTATTTGTCTTTCTCTGACTAGCTTATTTCACTTAGCATATGTTCTCCGGGTCCATCCACGCTGTCACAAAAGGTAAGATTTTCTTCTTTGCAGCATTATTTACAATTACCAAGATATGGAAACAGCCCAAGTGTCCGTCAGTATTTGAGTAGATAAAACAACTATGGGACATTTACACACTGGAATGCTACTCTGCTGTAAAAGAGACCTTGCTTTTAGTCCCACCTGACACTGTCTCCTTACCCTATGCTGGGGTCTTGGACATATGCCGCACTGGGGGCCAGCACCATTGCTAATGGTGTAATGCAGTTCTACCACCTAGCTGTGGCTGGTTCCTGCAATTAGTGGTAAAGTGAAAAGGCAACTTTTCAGGATGAGAAGTTAGGTGGTAGTAGTGAACTTGTTAAAAGCACTTCCCAAGAATATACTAAAAGGAACTTGTGTTTTTGACTTGCCAATTATCATTAATATAAAATTTAAAACACATTATTTTAGGATTCATAATAGTTACTACAAATATAAAATTGTACTTCTGACTCAAACTCAAAATAGTTTTATTCATTTATTCACTCTTGAGTATAGTCACTGAACCATGTTCCAGGAGCTCTTTGAGGTCCAGAGAACACAGCATAGAATAACACAATGTGTCAGCCCTCATGCACTTTTCTTTAACAGAGAAATGAAATTAGGGACATGTAAATAGTAAAGAAAATGGTACAGAAATAGGTACTTGCTGACTTCTTCTTAACTTCCCTTTTCTCTTCATCTTATTCCAAACCCATGGGGGAGAATTTGAAATGTGGTCTGAATATGCTTAAGGCTATTCACAGGGTGTGCAAGTTAGAGGTGTAAATCTGCTTTCTCTTGGGATTTTCTCTTCTTTGCGTAAGGTTGGATAAAAATGTAGGTCAGGGACAGATTTCTCACAGAGCTGCTTTGTTTAGAAAACTATTTCAAATTGAGGCATATGTCACAAAAGCATTGGTAAAGTTTGGGTTTCAATTTGCAATTAAGAAAACACTGACCATTTAAGATTGTGAAATTAAGTAGTTTTAATCAAAAAGAAATAAAAACATCCATTTCAAAGCTATTAGACCTATCTGTCACACACGGAGAGGAAACAAAGGCAACATTTGACATTCTCAGCATGCCTGTGTGAGTGCGGTGGAGTGACTTGGGAGACTGTCCATCCACTAACTGCAGTGTGTGATGAGCTCTGTTTCTCATAAGCACATGCATCTCTAGACCCCTCAGCACATACACCTGAGACAGGAGAACACTTAAACACAATACACTATACCTGAAAATAAAGCCTGAATATTTTCTTATAATTTCAAAATCAATTATTTGGCATCCAGGAAAAAAATATAGAAACAAAGATCTAGAAACCCAAAGAATAAAAACATGAGCTTCCAAATAAATACAAGGAATAGGTTTACAGTAAGTGGATTTCCACCATGAAGTAAACAGTTTTCTGACTAGAAGACAAATCATCCATTTAGCTGATCTATTAGTTTCTCATTCTGAATTCAAAAGAAAGAAGTTAAATAAGAGAGTAACTTTTCAAGCGCATTGTGGTAGCCATGGCAACCCACCATGACACACAGGTGAAGCACAGCAGACAAAATGACTTTGAAATCCTTGAGAGGAAACATGTCACGTGGTGAGTTGCGGAATGTCGGTGGCAGAGATGGCTGGACTGACTGAGGATGAGTGCTGCCTCAGTGTTTGCACTGCACACACCATTCAAGAACCACGTGAGGGCACACACACAGACAATGGGAAGGACACAATTCCTAACCAGAGGTGTGTGCAGCCCTATGGAGAACTGCAGCCAGTACTATGGAAGACCTAACAGGGTCAGAGAGTAGGGGAAGATCAAATAGAAAATGTTCAGAGAAACTTCATGCAGAAGAAAGACTTGAGCGTGATCTTAAAGTGTAAGTAGAATATCCACAGCTATTAAGCAGGAGGGGAGACACAGGAGAGAGCACTCTAAGCACAGATGAAAGTTGTGAGTAACTTCCCTGGACTCTCACAGCATTCTGCCCTCTGCATCAGCACTTAACTCACTTCATATTGGGCTTTTATTTAAATGCTTTTTCAATGACAGTTCACATTAAATATTATTTGTGTTAGTCTCAGGTGTACAGCAGAGTGGTTTGACAGTCATATTCTTTTTTTTACCATAATTCATTTTACAATTATAAAGCAATTTCCAATAACTTCTTTTTTAAAAACATTTTTTTAAAGATTTTATTTATTTATTTTTAGAGAGGGAAGGGAGGGAGAAAGAGAGAGAGAGAGAGAAACATCAATGTGCTGTTGCTGGGGGTCATGGTCTGCAACCCAGGCATGTACCCTGACTGGGAATCGAACCCACAACACTTTGGTTCGCAGCCCGCACTCAATCCACTGAGCTACGCCAGCCAGGGCTGACAGTCATATTCTTTACACAGCATTCCTCTCAGTATTTCCAGTGCCCACCTGGCAGCATACATAGTTATTTGCATCATTATTGACTACATTTCCTATGCTGTACTTTACCTAACTAACTTTGTTAAAATAATGTCTTTTCATGTTTATCTATTCCTCTAGAAAATTCCCTCCTGTGGGGACAAGTGGGGGGTTAATGAGCACTATGCTTGCATGATCAGCAGCTTACCAAATAGTTGGCACATGGTAAACAATCAATGCATTTGTGTTGCATGATCCGAAATATGAATGAGAGCAGCAAAGACAGAAGACATGGATTTGAAAGCTCACACAGTATGATAAAGATGGCTATATAAAGTAAAGGATGTGACATGGATGGGTTTTAGGATGGGTGGGAAAAGTGGGAGTAAGGATACAGAGTTTAACTGAGACAATAAGGTTAGAAGAGTTAGGGATATCTTGACATTTTTGCACCAAAGGTTAAGTTGTGTAAAATACATC